TTTGCATGGCACAGAAGAGTGCCGTGCAGCAGCTGCTGAAGCAACCGGGATCGTACAGGCTTGCAGGAGGTGAGTTAGAACACCTCTGCACCTGCACAAAGTGCGTGTTTGGCATGCACGCAAAGTGTGTGAACACGCTCAAAGCATGCCCACCAAGTCACGCCCACCAAACCGGTGGTAAAAATATTTGAATCCCACCACTGATATGCATCTATGCACACTCTGAATCAAAGTTTGCCTCTCAGATCTCTGCATAATCCTCTTTATTCATATGTAAAGCCCTATCTGAATGCCTTGGGATTTATTTTATTTATATGGCTGCCCATATCAATACATGGCCAGGGGCAGCTAATAATATGAAAAATTAGTCACACTATAAAGATCTGCTGATTTGGAAGTGCCCTTTATATCATAGCGTACACTGCTATTCTTAGCCCACAATTTCAGCAGAATCGGAATTTCCATTTTAATTGCACTACGGGAATATGTTAATGTATGTGAGGCAATAAATTTAGGATTATGTTATGCTAGCTTTTTTTCTGACTAACAAAGCATTTCAGGGTCCATGGTTTATGCCAACTGTAAATTCACTAGCAAGCTCCTCCCATGTGCAAAATAGGCTCAGACATACAAACAAAAAGAAAGAAACAGGCTCCCACAGGATTAAAGTAAAACATACTCAGATAATACTAATAAGACCCCTAATATTTTAAATGTATACAAATATCACATAAACAAAACTACTTAGTTATTTAGAGGAGTTTAACGAAGCAAATGCCACCCTTAAAAATATGACTGAAATGTTTAAAATACATGGAGATTTAAACTTTTCCCAGACACATATGTCCATACTGTTTCATAGTGAACTGATTTTTGTTGTTGTTTAAAATCCCTATGCATTACTTCCTCTAGTTAACTGTTATTTCCTCTAAAACATGGGGAAGCCCATTGACTCTGTACAATTTAGCTTGTAGCAGGCTGCAAAATACATTCACTGTTAGAAAGAGATGACTGGAATGATTAAACAGCTAAATTCCTATAATAAGTACATCAATGGCCAAGTCACCAGGCAGTATCCTTACTAGGGGAAACCTCCATTCTGTGTCCACATATTTGCATGCATGGTTACTAAATCATTTTTTTTCTGGATTTACATAATGTACAGTTAACCACAAGAACAACATGCCAGGATGGCTAGTATTTTTTTGATCTTGCAGATGATACAACAGTGATTGGTCTCGTTCAATAAAATGACAAATCCGCATACAGACAGGAGGTTGTACAACTTGCCTCGTGGTATAACTGGAACAATCTGGAACCAAACACACTTAAAATCGTAGAAATGGTGGTAGACTTTAGAAGAAACCCTCCCATACTACCTCTTACAATACTAAACAACACAGTATTAACAGTAGAGACCTTCAAATTTCTAGGTTCTATCTTATCACAAGACCTAAAAATGGACACCTAACTTCAAAAACATCATCAAAAAAGCACAACAAAGAATGTTATTTCTGCGCCAACTCAGAAAGCTCCAACTGCCCAAGGAGCTGCTGATACAGTTCTACAGAGGAATCATTGAGTCTGTCATCTGCACCTCTATAACTGTCTGGTTTAGTTCTGCAACCTAACAAGACAGACACAGACCTCAGAGGATAATTAGGACTGCAGAAAAAACAATTGCTACCAAACTGCTTTCCAACGTGCCTACCGTCCCTGTCCTATTGTTTCTGTTATTTTTCTTATATGTATCCATGTATTCATAACTATGTTTTTACTTATACCTATTATCTTGTAAGCAATTGGCAAACCAAATTTTAAAAAAATAAAAATCAAGGACCTGTATACTGCAAGAGTCAAAAAGACGACTATGAAAATATTTACAGACCCCTCACATCCCGCACTGCACACCAGAAAAACTAGACTCAAGGACAGTTTTTTTCCTGAACGCTATCACTCTGCTAAACAAATAATCCCCTCAACACTGTCCAACTATTTACAAAGTCTGCACTACTATTAGTATTAATCTTCTCATCGTTCCTATCACCCATCCCCTCCCACTTGTCACTGTATGTCTGTAACCTTGTTGTTTGTATTCTTACTATTTATATTGACTGTTTCCTAGTATGATTTGATTGCTTATTGTACCCTATGACTATTAAGTACCTTATGATTCTTGACTCTTGATGAATGTATCTTTTCTTCTTATGTACACTGCAGTGGTTTGGGCTTTCCCGACTGCCTACAAACTTACCTTACTCCCGCAGCTGGTGGCAGAGGGAAATGTGAACCAGTCAGGGCAGACCTGTCGCTACTCAGCTCCCCACCAGCCCACATCTCGTCAGCTGCTGGGGCTCGCGGGTCATGGCTGCTGAGGGGGAGTGCAGGAGGCAACTAGGAAGCACGAGGCTTATGCTGCCTGCATCCTCCTCTGCCAGCCGCCCCCCTGAGCATTTTAGCTGAGTGCAGGCCGCTGCTATGTAAGCTCCATGGATGGAAGATCCGCTCTCATGAGGCTTGACTCGCATCATTCTCACAGCGGTGGCCTGCATTCAGCCAAAGCATGCAGGCTGGAAGGCAGCAGAGGGAAGGGGCGGCAGGCAAGGGGCGCCCCTAGCAGGCAAGGCCCAACCCCCACCGCTAGCAGGCAAGGCCCAGCAGCTGCGGAGAATCCAGGTTGGACCCAAGCAGCAATGGGTCAGCCCTGGCTCGCCTCCCTCTCGGCCACCAGCAAGCCAAGCAAGTGGGGGGGAACTGAATTGTGCCCTGTGATGGGCCCACCTCCAGCACTCCTCTGCCATCCCCCTTGCCCCTTAGTGTCCTCCTGCTGCCCCCTTGCCTCTTAGTGCTCCCCTAAGTCATCCCACCCACCCCCAGGAGGCGGTACCACCCACTTTGGGAACCACTGGGATAGACTATTGATTCCACCATTAAGGAAATGTTAGCTTTTTGAGGTAGTCTAGAACAAGAAACATAACAATGAATATTAGCTGTATCTTTATTGTAAGGTTATACTAACAGGGTTTTGCAAGGCTGAACATATTATTCTCATCCTTTTCTTTTACCCTCTGGAAAACTAGTGAGGGTTCCTTCTGAAATGCTTCCCAAATCTACTCTTCTTCTGTGGACTGAGATATCTTTCATGTGTGGCTCTTCCTCTTGTTTCCCATTCCCCACATACCATTAGATAAGAAACAAAGGACACCAATTTTTAAATTCATACTTCTAAATGTGCACTTAATAGTTTTGGATTGCATCGTTCAAATATGCAAGAACCAGAGTGAAATCTCTGCTTCATTAGCAGCCCTTCCTCACACATATCTTCTCTATATAACTATCAAAAGTCTAAACTAATTATCTCAATTATACCATTTATCAAAAATGAGAAGACACATTGAATTCTCCTCACCCTCAAGTGCCTAAATATATGTTAAAAATGGCATCCTTTGACCTTTCCATCCTGCCAAGCCAGCAAAAGGATGACCGCATGTAGCAAGGAATATATCATCTTCAGCAAAGTGTGAAAGAGACTAAAAATTGTAAGGCTACCATTAAAAGCAAAGGGCTGTATAATAAAAAAGGAGAACCTTAACACAAAGATTTGACCTTTACAAGGAGATATGAGCACTATATCTGAAAACATCCTAGTGAAATTCAAACCCAACAGGTGTCCTCTATCAAACACTGCAGCCATCCTCGCCTTCCTTCCACCTGTTCTCCATGTTAGAACAGTCACTCATATTGCTCCAGCATCTGCACTGACTTCCTATTGTTTTCTAAATGCAACCCAAAGGGCTATTTTCAATACATCTCCAGAAAGCCTTTGACAGCTGGGAATCATCACGTTCTTTTATATTGGTCTAGCATGGGCATCTAGAGAAAGATTCTGCATGGATTTAGATTGAAAGTGTATCTTGTCTAGGAGCAGTTTTGATTTTATTTCTTGACAAAAAACTTTTTTTGGCTAAGTGCTTTGTGGTAGTTGGGAGGTTTTGTATAAGACCATTTTGGCCATGCTTTATAAGGAAAAGGCTTTTCAATTTAGCCAGGCAAGACAAATGCTCTGCTGAATATCTGGAGAAGAGCTGCCAGACAGAGCATACAGCTATGATGTACTTGCAAGAAAGTTTGAGGCAGTTTCTCAATCCTGTCAATTTTAAATGTGTGGACTAGCTGGAGAATCCTGAGAGTTTTAGCCATGCTGGTTTGGGGATTCTGGGAGTTGAAGTCTACACATCTTAAAGCAGTCAAGATGGAAAAACACTGTTTTAAAGTACTTTTATGCCAGACTTTGATAGGATTAAAAAATTAAGTCCTCATTTGGAACCTTTATTTTTCAAATTGTGCTAGTGTAAAATGCACAAGTTTGATTTTATATGTGCTATAGGAGGTTTCAATCTCCCTTTAGAAGATATTTGCTTTCTACAAACATTTTCCAACACAAATGTGCAGGATACCTCAAACCTTCAATTCAGGCTTAAAGTTCTTCTGTGTAGTAAGGTTAATCAGTTCATTGTAACTTATGAGCCATAAATAAGCAGATAGAAATCTACTTAATGTGTTCTTCATTCTCCTTTAACAGTAGGTTCCTTAAAGTCAATTGATTTAGACGTTAGTTTTGACAATCTTAGGTCTTGTTCACTTTCATTGGTCAAGTTCAAAATGAATCTATTGATGGGTCTTAATTTAGTTCTATTTTTCACAATGGAAATAATCAGAAACCTTTTTTGTAGGAGGGTGAGTGGAAATTCAACTGATAAAGCATTGTGTATTGCTACACATCTAGGCCAAAATATCTCATCAATTACATTTACACCTTACTCAACATAGCATTATTTCAAATACATATAAAAAGAAAATATATATCTCATCAATTACATTTATACCTTACTCAACATAGCGTTATTTCAAATACATATAAAATGACAATATATTTAGAGGGCTAAAACTTAGAGAAATCTGCCTTGTTGGCTTCATTCAACATAGTTCATATTTCATACCTGCTGCATTGGTTCTTCCTCTAAAAACATCATCATAAGCTTTCCACTGGGGTGTCACTTGATAAACATGGATGAACACCACAAATACTACCACCAGGCATACTAGTGGTACCAGGGCAGCAGTAAAAAGGGCTGCATAAATATTTGGAATGAAGCACCTGAAAGCGAAAAAGAAAACAAAGTCATTTTCAAATATTATAGGAACTTTGTCTGTAGTGTGGAAGTCACCCACACATGTTGTTTAACCAAGAGTTTCAAGAGTAAAAAGGAAATTCAAGTGTCATTTAATTATCTCATATATCTTGAATTTATAAGAGACAGTGATTGTCAAAATGGTTTTTTTTAAGTATGATAAAAGTTGTTATAAATGCACTTTTCCCAAATAGAAAAAAGCAACTCATTCAAAAAAAAACCTCCTATTATGTACATTTATCTAATGTCAAACTTAGTAGCATTATTTAAAAATATGCATTTTTGTAAATTTATCATCGGTTACCACATTCAGAATTTCTTTAAAACATATATAAAACCAAAAATGATGTGCATATAATAAAAGGTTCCATTCTAGATAAAACAACTGAGGGTTTCCTTTTGTAATAACTTTTCTCCCACTATTTTTCCTTTTTCAGTTAGAGAAGTGAATAGGGCTAGACCACACCCATTCAGAAACCAAAGCTGAAATCTATTACTATTTGCGATCTGTAAACCCAATTATGGTGGGTTCTTTGGATATAAATAAATGAAAATTGATTAATCCAGGAACATCTTATCTTCTAGAAAAATGTACTGTTTGATTACTTTACCAGAACACTGTTAAGTCTTATTTATATAGTTAAAATACAAAATGCCAATAGCAGCATTTGGTTCACAAAACTTAATTGTATTTAAAGAACTTTTAGACTGAATTGGGTATTGAGGCACAGCAAGTTTTTTAACTTCAGAGTAGGTCTATAAACCTCTACCAATTTTAATAGCCAATTGTTTCATGTTCACTTTTTCAAATCAGAAAAATAAGCCATTGGCATGTTCTAGCATCCCCACTGTTGCTCTTCTGTACATTCATTAGATAATAAAAATGTTGTATCTCCACAAAATGTTAAGGAATATCTCCCCATTGGTCAATTCTGATTAATTATGAGCAATACTGCATGATCAATAAAAGTTTGACTTACAACTGCAATTGGGACAAATATCTATGGAGATTCTCAATCATCAAAGTCATGGATGTCCCAAGGGTGCATTTTCAAAAGGCAACTGGGTTGGTTTTTTGACATTTCTTGGTTTTGCTTCTTATCTAAGAAGCTTTTTCAGTTCCGAGAAGAGAATTGAGGAAGCTTCCTGGATGAGAAATGAAATGTTTTCAAAGAAAAAAATGAAGTCCAGTTGCCTTTTGAAAAGCACCTTTGGGTCACAATTGGGACAGAATTTCTGCGGTGAAGCTAAGCAATTTTTAAGTGAGTTGTGCTCAATTTTAGGATCTTTTTGGCCACAGGTGCTCAGTGAATCACTGCAGTTCTTAAATGAATCATGTAGTCATTAAGTGAATGTGGCTTCTCCCATTGACTTGGGAAGGTTGCAAATGGCAATCATATGACTATGGGATACTGCGATCATCATAAATACATGACAGTTGCCAAACACCTTAATTTTGATCATGTGACTATGGGATGCTGTGACAGTTATAAGTGCAAGAACCAGTTGTAAGTCAATTTTTTTCAGTGGCATTGTCATTTTGAATGATCACTAAGTGAAAAGTTGTAAGTCAAGGACTATTTATAATTGGGACTGTGCAAGAGCAAATACGTCCATTCAAAATTTCTATCAAAATGCTTCTCTTTTACAATTAATTTCTGTCTATCCATGCTTTTATGGAAATACACAATAACCAGATTTTAATTTTCTGGAAGATTAAGATTGAATATTTATAAGCAGATTTTAAAAATAAATATCATTACCAGTATCATCTTTACTATTTCCAATGAGTATACCTAGAAGTCTAGTTCTGTACTGGTTGATGAAACATTATGAAGGTTTCTGTCTTTTGTCCTTTCATTTCTAAACTGATTTATTTTGAAGAGAATTAATTTATAGTATAAATTATTATTGCAAAACATACATTGTGCATCTGCCAACCTTACTATTTTTAGAATGCAAGAATATGAGAAAAAGCAGATACACACAAATTATTGTACTAATTAAATTTACAAATCATCCACTTTGGTATATCTACCTAATGCATAGAAGGGTCTGAACTATCTTGGCAGTGAGTCATATACTTTGGCTGGGTATGCCCTATGGGAAGGAGGGGAACTTGTAGTGCTCTGAATCTTTATTTAGTTATGGGATTAGTATCCTGCTTATTTGAATGTGTGGGCATGACTATTTTCAACCCTTATCTCCTGTTCCTGTGTGGGCCTTTCCTTCCTATTTGCAATGTCAGTTGCATATTTCTTGCATTGCATGCCAAATCTCTGAACCTGATTGTGCTGCTCAATGAGGAGTGGTGACAACTTATAATATAAGTAAATGTTATTTGAATGTCTGTTTGTTTTTGTTTTTGCTGACCACACATTAAATCTGGGAGCTGTTTAGAATGTGATACTTTTGGCAGAATTATAAAAGTTTTGGGTATTGTTTTAATAACAGTTTTATAATATGAAAGTAGGTTTATTGTTGTACTTATTGAATTCACATAGACAAGAGTGTTAAAGTAATTACCACAATATGTTTTACAATATAATATCTCAGAATGCAATACAGTAGTTTTTGTTCAACTGTAAATAGCCTAAAATCTTCCATTTAAAGATTGTTGCAGATACCAGAATCATAGTCTTCTTCTCAAAAGCTTCTTTTTCCAGATGATAGGCAGGAAACAAGGATTGATCAACCAACTTTTCTTATTGGCTGTTTGTGTTGCATAGTGTTGCTGAACAAATACTAATACAAATATTCATACAAATGCTTGATACAAACTTCCATGATTTTAGCAGCTATTCCTTACTTGCAGAACAAACAAGCTAACATTTAAATAAAAGTCAAAGTGATGTCTGCTAAAATCATAAAAGTTTATAGTAATTAGATTAATTACTACTTTTTATTTTGTGAGCACAATAAACAATTTGTAGATGTTTGCTTGCTCTCAGAAGGACTGTGCAGATACATCTGTCTGGCCTAGTTAATGCTATTGTGTTTCCCAAAATTTAGTTTGATTACCATAGTTACTGAGAGTTATTCTTCCTCAAGTAATCACCAAAATTAGACATTGATGTTATGGACAGGTATTGAATAGTAAAATGACCAATAGTTACTGCCCTGGGAAACCCTTTCTACATATGCAGCCTTCCTAAATAAGTGATCCAATTCTTGAAGAGGTCACAAAGATGAAACAGTTGTCCCTGCTACTCCTAATGATGGAATTAATTTGAATCCCCAAATAAAGATCTTCTACCTACCAATGCCTAATCTGGATTCTGTTCTACCTTGAGGTTAGTTGATGGCATATTGACTTGTCCAGGTGCCAAGCCAGCAAAAGGAATTAAATCCAGGATGCTTGGAAATGAATCAAACGTTATCTTATATACCATAATTGCTGTTTAAATACAATGCTTAAAACAAGCATAATGAAGTTCTTGGACTTAAATATAGTGAACTTCTTGGACTTTCTTGGATTTACCATTCCTGTCCTTCCTATTTTGATCTGATCACTTATCTCAGATTATGATACCTTTACCATTACTTTTTATGGGCAGGGAAGGAGCTAAATCTGCCCCTCATTCTATCACTGTTGGTTTCTGGAGCAGGCTGACACTGTGTTCCTTCTCAGTCCAGAAACATAATGGAATAGCGTAAACATATATTTTATACAGTGGCACTATTTGGAAACTGAAGATACTGCATATGGCTGGTATTTTAATAAACAGAAACTATCTCCAAATTCAGAGATAACATTTCATAAGTTTATTGAATAGAAAGAATATAAAATTCAGTGGGTATGAAATCATGCAATTCATTTAATAAATCTTCCTGTATAGATCTATTTTTAAATGAAAGAAAAAGCAAAACCAAATTGCACCAGATTATCTGGATTTCCCTTGGTTATTGTTTAGAGATTGTTGTTTTTGTTTCTCTTCTGTGAAATGTGTTTGCAAATCCTGGAAAGCCCTTTAAATGTTAATACAGCATGAACAGGGGATTTTCTTTAAAAGATTTTCTGCTCTGAATGCCTGCAGCTTTATGAGTCAAAACAAACAGTTCTCAGATGTACCATATCAATTGCTCAAGAGCGTTGATCTGAATAGTATAATGCAGGGTGATTTATTTATTTATTTATTTTAAAAAAACTTTTGAGATTAGCATGACTGCCCATAAAATCATTTGATTTTAATTTCAGTTTCTATGAAAGAATACATATCTCATTTTTACTGCAATCAAAAATGCAATTGCATATAAATCTCTGATTCTGATACCAATCTGTTGTTCTGTCTGTCTACCCATCCATTCATCTATTCATCCATGACAATTTTGCTTCAGATTTAGAAAGCAAGCAAAAATAGCCATCCAAATTAGATTCATAAATATTTATCAAGACAAAAAGAGCAATTAATTATCTGGATTTAGGGTCCACTTTAGAACAGGCCTTTTTTTTTAAAAAAAAGGTAAATCATGAGGATAGAAGATGAACTTAGATCAGCACAACAGTCTTTAAATTGGAGGGCTATAGGAACTGATGGAATAACCCCTAAAATCTGGCAGACGACTGAAGGTAAAGGTTGCAATTAAGCTATGCTAGCAACACAGTGGTCACCAGATTAGAAGATGTCAATCTACAGTACATTCCAATACCAAAAAAGGAGACTTAATAGATTTGCATAATCTATTATGCAAACCATACCTGTAATTTGACAACTAGCAAAATGTTTAGGATCATCCAACACAGATTAGAAACTGAGTTGGATGGAACACATTATTGCTGGTGTAAAACTAAGTCAATATGTACTTCACTGATTACAAAAAAGCCTTCAACTGTGGCATTTAAGTCAAGCTGTGAAATGTGCTATAAAAAACAGAAACGCAGAACATAATATTGTTCTCATGAAAATGTATACATAGGTGAGAAAGCCATAGTACGGATATAAAAATGTCACAATTTACTAAGACATACATTATATACTGACAGCTGCAAGAACAAATTTGGAACACCATTATCAGACTAGGAGACTAAAATTGGAGAACATGAACAATAATTGACTTCTATGCATTATGCAGCAGGATGAGTTTAGACAATTGAAATACAATTTTAGGAAGAATATTAAAAGACTAATAATAATAGATGAAAAGATTCAGATAGTTACTACCCTATAATGTTTAAGGTAATATATACACATGCACACAAACACACATATTTATTTATATTGTCATCATTTGTTGTGGATATAAACAGAAGGGAAGTTTACAAGAAAGTTTTCCCACAATGTTTTTATATGTTTTACTCCATTTTACTTGTTTCTTTTTCTGTTATTCCATTGTTACTATCCAATGTAGAATTTGTTTTTCCTTTGCCTTTCATTTAGGATGGGATGGGATGGGATGGAGTGCCTAAAATAAACATAGCACTACTTTCATTTACTAAGCAAGACAAAGATGCAACTTCTGTTAGTTCTATCAATGGGAATACTTTTAGTGAATCAGAATTTGGAGCCACTTCATTCTAGGCTTTAGTCATGGTGGTTGCCACCATGTTTAGACACCCATGGTAGATTAAACAGGCACACTATGTTTTTGTTTGCATTGGAATTTTTTTCTGTAAAATGAATTTTTCCTTTGTCTAAAATGTACTGTTTAAACATAATTACAGAGTATATAAATACAAAATTACAAACTTGACTGAGAAAAACATGAAAACATCCCAGAAGATGAGATTGCTAACTGGTATGGTAGCTGATGCAGCCCAACAGCATTTAACTGAAAACAAGCTCTTTCCACCTATGCAGAAAGGAAACTGCCCAAGCAACAAAGGAGCAAATGATCAGCTCTTAATTGATAAGATAATTTTGGCAAACTGCAAGAGAAGGAAGCCCAACTTTAATATAGCTTGGATTGATTACAAGAAGGTGTTTAACTCCCTGCCACATGATTGGACAACCAAGTGCTTAGGAATAACAGTAGTCAGTTGGAAAATTAGAAACTTTGTGCAAAGATCAATGGCACAATGGAAGACACGGTTGCTGGTCAATGGTGATAGATTAGGAGAGGTTAATATCAAGAAAGGAAACTTTCAAGGAGACTCAAACTTAGCACTGTTTGTCATTAATTCTGCTGTCAATAATACTAAACAACTGGAAGTCAGGCCATAGCTAACAAACAACAAAACATATATCAGGGTATTCCACCTCCTTTAGATAGACAATCTGAAGTTGTATAAAAAAACCTCATCTGAAATAAAATAGTATGTCAACACTCTAATATGCAGCCAAATATTGCAACTGAGTTTGGACTGGACAAAAGTGCTACTCTTACCATCAACAGAGGAAGTAATGAAACTGAAGGAATCAAGATGCCCTTTGGAAGAAGATTTTAAAATCCAGTCAGTGAACAAAATACAATCTATGAATCCCTGACCAATTCTAATTGATATACAACTGGAATAGTGGACTGGACTCAAACAGAACAAGAAGCCCTGGATAAGATCAAAGATATAATGACAATGCCCTTCATTCACACAGCAATCTTGACAGACTTCAGTTACTGAGGAACCTAGGTAGGAGTAAAATGCTGTAAGTATATCCAACAATTGAAGAAGAAGAAAGAGCACTGGAAGAATATCTGAAGGTCAGAGAATAAGATGCACTGAATCTAATACATCACAAAGGTGGACTAAATATCAAATGGACTAAACTGACTTATAAGAAAGACTAAAGGCAGAGTAGAAAAGAGACGTGGCAAAACAAATTATCACATGGCTAGTACATTAAAAAAAACTAGTAGGAAAAGCAGATAACAAGAACATCAAGGAAAGGCTAAGGGCAGGAAAGCTGAAGAAAATGACAGAGGCTAATTCTAGCTGCACAAGACTTAGCCTTAAGATCAAATACATACGAAGGCAGATTTGAGAAGATGGCAACAGACGGCAAATGTTGCCTCTGCAAAGAAGCTACAACAGCATGACAAAGTAGCAACAATGATACATTGTAAGATTTGCAAGAAATACCACTTGCCTGCAAGCAAGAACTGGCGGCACTAAAAAATAGTTATGTTAGAAAATGAAAAAGACTAAAGTGCTGTGGGACTTTAGAATTCAAACATCTGTCATACAATGCCCCAAATTTAACAATTGTTGATTTTAAAAAATGATAAAACTCTTGGATGTGAATACTGCAAAACCCACAGACAGTAGAATAGGACTGAAAGAATTGGCAAAAAAGACCTGTAAATAGAAGTAGAACTGTGGCAAAAGAAAGCAAAGGTATTGCCAACAATAATGGGCTCCAACAATAATCCCCAAACAACAACTTGAACCCCATCAGCATTGACAAAATCACACCAGTCAATTGCAAAAGGCAGTTTTAGTTGGAACAGCTTAAATCCTGAAGCAATATATTTAACACCACCAAATAACCATGGCTGCTTATCCTAAGTTCTTGGGAAGTACTTTATAGATAAAACTGCCAAATCCAAAATCAACTGACAATGTGACCAAGAGCAACAACAATACTAATATTAACATGCCAAGACATTGCCATAAAATTTTCAGGAGTTTTGTTCAATTTGAGCTATCTTTAATCTGCAAATTCAAATAAAAAAAACACCCCAGAATTCTAATACAGATAAAATGTCTATCAATAAATGTAATCAGCAACATTTTTTGTTGGTGTGAGCCAAGAGAACCATTATGGATCATAGTGTATGGGTTTTAAAGATAGCTTATTTATCGAGCATAGCTGCTCTTGTTTGGCTGAACATTTTCTGATGGAGAAAGAAAAGGGTGACCACCAATGACTGAGTTCAATAAAGAATGAAACATAATGAAAAAAGAGGTAATGTAGATGAAGTCTAGTCCTCGAGGTCTAAATATAATTTTGGGATTGAATCATGTACTTAGTAAATTGGTTCAAGTTATTTAGAACTTGGCTTCTTATGAACTGAAGTTGGCAGAAGGATTGCCAATTAGTCTGTAGAAGGTTTACCAGAAATTTGTAGGCACTTCTTGTATCGACTCACAGACCAGAGAAAAATGGCTCATGTGGGAATTCACATTATATTTCTCAATATTTTATAATTCTAGGCCATCAGTGTGGTACATGGACAAAAATCTGCTGGTACTGGACCATAAAACACCAGTAGGAGGAAGAGTAAATTCTATCCTGGTTGCTTTCAAAGCCTACTCAAAGGAAGATGTGTGTGTGAGAATGCTGATTTCTGATTTAAGTGTTCTGACAATGCATGTAGGAATCAACAACGTTGCCTTTGGTGAAACAAGACAAAAATATAGTATGTTGATTTGTGAGATGAATCACAGGCCTCAGGATAATTAGAATGCAGGAAGAGGAAAAGATTTAGAAACTACTAACACCAAACAGCTATACACGTTTTTCTTCCTTTTCTCTGTGAAAGAACAAAGGAGGTTATTTTTTTTCAAGATATTTGTTTTTACAGAAACCACCTGAGAGACAGAAAAAGAACTCCAGTGATTTTGACAAACAATATGCAGACTATACAAAAGGAGGGATGGGACTCACCCTGTTCGAGCTCAGCTATGAAATATCAGTCAGGGCAGGTGGAATCCCATCAATAAGAGGCACAGCGACTACAAATAATGATATCTACCTACTGTGCCTTCAAGAAAAAAAGCTCTTAGCGGTTTGCAAAATAAATAATCTAAGCCAGAGTGTCCAAAAATAAATATGTATTAAGCACATTTTGATTTTAACATAAATCAAACTCACAATGCATTGCATATTCAGTGATCCATTTTTGGTGTACATCAGTGTTTCTCAACCTTGTTCACTTTCAGACATGTGCACTTCAGCTCCCAGAATTCCTCAGCCAGCCTTGCTGACTGAGGAATTATGGAAGTTGAAATCCACACATCTGAAAGTGAACAAAGTTAGGAAACACTTGTGAACATGATTTGGGTGCATGTTTTGCTTCTTTGACCAGAAACTCTACTATGATAGGTGACATGGAAAATCAGAAAATGTATTGTTTTAAAAATCTAATATTAATGTCTTACAATTTTGACAAATAACAGGCAAAAATTGCATTTTTATTTATCTAAGACACTTTGAATACATATACATATTCAATAATTTTTAAGAGAAAATGATATGACAGTTGAGCATTAGTTAATTTTGTCTAAGTCTTCATGAATGTTTATGATAGTTCTGATTGTCCAGTGATATTTTTGTTAAGCAATGCCAGAAAGCTGCAGAATTTTATAACCTAGGTGCTGTTTAACTTGTTGATTTAAGTAGGTACCAACAGTGTTCCCACAAAAGTCCGAAGTACCTTGCCACATTCAATCAATTCCTTTTTTTATTCAAATGAGCGTGTGTATGGACCATACAGGAAAAGATGCAATTGATGGTGGAACAACCCTACTTCCTCCAAATAATATTTTCTGCTCTGTATTGGAAATATAGTCACATCCCTATTTATAACACTTCAATTTTTCTATATAAACATGAAGGATTTTCTGACAGTGGTCATTTGTCATTATTTCTAAATTACATTAGAGCAGACCTTAGAATTCTACAAATATCTATAGTTATGAAGAAGATTAATTTATAAATGACTCCTGTCATTCAATGTTATTCACATTGCCATTATTTCTCTTCTGCTTTATTAAATTAGATGAGCAGAACGTCATGTAATCCACTCTCTTGTATCAAATACAGGGAAGGAAAAAGATTATGATTCTTAAAATTGGCTTTCTCCAATCTACTTTAGCTATGTAAGGTGAGGGGATTTGTATTAACTATACATGTATTATATATGTCACTTCTAGGTGAGATAGGCAGCACATACATTTAATTAATAAGTAAATAAATAAATATGTATACTTACAGGTCATTGTGAATCAGGCCATAAATCTGTGGTAGGTTATGATGATAGATTCCTCGCAAGACAATTAGTAATAGTATCACAACAAGGGCTGGAAGACCCCAACCCAAAACAAAAAAAAATAGATAACGCCGTTCTGTGTGTTCATCATTCATCACCAAGACATACCAAAAATTAACAGCCTATGGAATAACAGATAACATTAAATCAATATGCTTAATAGTAATTTATTAACAGTCATGTAAAAACAACTTTTTAGAAATATACTTATGCCAACATTCAACCCAATTAGACAGAAAACTGACAGTAGAAAAAGACCTTGTGGTCCATTGAGTCGGTCCTTTGAGATTTTCCTTGTTTTTTTTTTTTTGTTTTCTTTTAATTAATTTCTTTTAATTATTATTTTTATTTTTAGTCAGATGATGGACATATGCTTACCCCAAGCATGTTTAAGCTTAGTTACTGAAGATTTTATTGTTCAAAAATTAAACAAAAAACAAAAAAAAGCATGGATCTAAGAGTGGCAATCTATATTTGCAACCAGTCTACTCTAGGTTTAAGAAAAAGAGTTCATCTAAAGCACCATAATTTAATCTGTGGACAAAAATTCTAATTTTTATGATCTTTAAGGGTTGGTATCAAATATAAATATCCTTGAATCTGCCTCTATTGTATAAAGGCAATGGTTCATATAGGCTAAACTAAAGGCAGTGTGTACAATAGATAAAATATTAGAACCCAGGAGAAATCAGGCAACTCTTCCAATACATCCTCATAGAACTGTAGAAGGGATATAAAATTAAGAAAAAAACCTCCCCTCCCTCTTATAAGTTACCTCAGGTTCCCAGAGAAACAGAAAGATATGAATGTCATAAATCAAAACAAACACAGAGTTTCATTCTGAATGAACATTAAGAAAAATGTACTAATAAGAAAAAAATGTTCATGAAACCAAAAGCATCATTCTATAAAGAGAGGCTGGACCACACCTCATTGCAAGGTTGATAGCCATCTGCTGAAGACACTTGTGCTGGGTTGCATGTTCTGGATAACAACAACAGTTTTATGCATGTGCAACAAAGTGTAAAAAAAAAAGAGCAAGAGTAATTTTGATCAGACAAACAGAAATGTGTTGTTTAATATTTATCCCTGTCACCTGAATTGCAGAATTAGCAGTTAATCTGCATAACATGCAAAACAGATTGTCTGCATTTGTCAGACTAGAATATGTAAGGGCTATTCTGAATCATGCATAGAACTGCTGATTACATCAGTTCCCATATCTTTAAACCTATTTGTATAGTGCATTTGGAGAAAATGAAACAATGCCAATGCTTGGCAATTGCCAAAAAAGGGTCTTCAGCTAGACATTAAATCATCATCATCATCATCATCATCATCATCATGTATAATAATAATAATAATAATAATCATCATCATCCTGAAAAAATGGTCAAAAATGAGCATGCAAAACTACTGTGGGACTTCCGAATACAGACTGACAAAGTTTTGGAACACAATACCCTGGATATCATGATTGTGAAGAAGAAAAAAAGTGTGGATCGTCAACATTGCCATACCTGGTGACAGCAGAATCGACGAGAAACAACTTGAAAAAATCACCAGATATCAGGCTTGAAAATCGAACTGCAGAGACTCTGGCATAAACCAGTGCAGGTGGTTTTAGTGGTACTCAGCACACTGGGTGCTGTGCCTAAAGACCTAGGCAAGTACTTAAAAACAATTGGCACTGACAAAATCTCATTGGTCAGCTGCAAAAGGCCATCTTACTGGGATCTGCTCACATAATCTGCCAATACATCATACAGTCCTAAACACTTGGGAAGTGTTTGACTAGTGATTTGTGATATGAAATCCAGCATAGTTATCTCGTTTCCTATGTACACAGTCATTTTTTGTAATAATAATAATAATAATAATAATAATAATAATAATAATAATAATAATAATAATAATAATAATTGTAGTAGTAGTAGTAGTAGTAGTAGTAGTAGTAGTAGTAGTAGTAGTAGTAGTTTAAAAAGAAATTGCCAGTGGGGACTTCCAGTTTGGGCTTCTTCGGCGACGGACCGAAATCGTGATCGTCTGCAGTTTTGATCTGTGCTCGCCGCTGGAGTGCCCCGAGCCACCCAGATTCGGGGCTGAAGCCATCCTGAGATGTGGCTGAGCCACATCTCTCATCTTCGGCTGGCCATTACTCCCTTTCCCAAAAGCGGTTGCAGCGGTGGTCAGAAATGGCCACCTCAAAGAAGAGGAAGTTTAAAGGAGAAAGTTTGACTGACCGGGTTGAATGGAGAACATCTATTTAAGGTACCTGGAACCTGAATTTTAAAGACTAATACTATTCCTAAAAAAGATTTTAAGCTGCGAAAGAGAAAGGGAAAGGAAACGGAATTGGCTTTTTTTCCTCTAACATTGACAGTTTTAAATGACTTGGAACATTAAGAAGAAGAGATTCGAATAAGAAATTGATACTAATCCACTTTGACATTAATAGGCTATTTCTAGCTGAAAATAAAGTGTCAAAGGGATAAAGATTCTTGGATAATTTAAAAACTTTCTTTAAAAAAAGAAAGAAAGCAGCGGAGGGAAAAAGGGAAAAAAGAGGGTGGAATGTGGAAAATGGAGGAGACCACCTGGAACTTAAAAAAAATTGATAGTGGAATTTTAACAAGGCTTGCAAAAGATACATTGTAGCTGAAACTTTGTTACAAGAGAACAAAGCCCCTGGAAAGAGAAAGTGAGAAAAGAAGCAAGAAACAGTTTTGGATTATTGGATGATTCCTGGAACTTTGGATGGAGGATCCTAATGAAATAAAATAAAATCAATTGGGGGTTGTTTAATTTTTTTTTAAATGGCATCACTCCTTGCAGAGTTAAAAATGAGACTTAAAGAACAAAAAGAAGAAGCACAAGACGGAAGAGGATCTTTTGCCTTCGTATTTCAATTTTTAGAAATGGAGATCTTGAACTATGAAAAACAACAAGAAACGCTGGCAGAACAAGGAGGGCGGGACAACGAAGAAGCCATCTTTAATGACCAAGCAATTTTAAGGCAGGTAAAAAAGGGAAAGAGGGGAAAGGGAGTTAAAAACTTAAACACTGAAGCAACAACAAGAACAACAAAGAGTAATTTGAAAAGTAATCATAATACCTGGAAGAAGCAGAAGGGAGGATCACAGAAGGGAGAATCAGATAGAAAAGGGAATAAAAAGGGGAGGAAGAAGAAGAGAGGGAAGAGGGAAAGGAAAAGAAGCTACAAAATACAGAAACAAGATATAGAGGTACAGAAAAAACGTATATAAAAAAGAATTAAAGGATTAAACCTATTTAAAAGAAACAGAGACAATGGTTAAAATTTAACTTAAAGAGAGGATTCTGCAAGGGTGCATGGGATAGCATTGTTATATTAGAAATAGAAAAGGGTTAGAAAATATGTTAGATGAATAAAGTGATAGAAAAAATTTCTATTGATGTGTAGTGGAATATTTGTTTGTAAAGAGAATAAGGATCTCAATGATTTAAAAAGAACGTTTAAAAAAAACTGAAAAAAAACATGGAAGATTTTTATCAGTTGATAAGATGAACTTGAATAAGAATAATAACTTTATTGACTACTGTTAATAACTATTGTTTGTTTAAACTATTGTTTATTTCAAGACAGTAATAAGTAAAATATGAAATATAGATGATTAAAGTGAAAGACAACTGATATTACTAGGTCATGTTTGTTAAAAGAAATAGAAATGTAAAAGATTGTTATTAATATTAATGGCAGAGTTGTACTTGAATAGAATAATTATTCCATTTACTATTGTTATACACACACACACACACACACACACACACATATATATACACACACATATATACTTTTTTCTTTTAAGAATTTAGTGTGTATACAATGGAATGTATCAAGCAGAATTCGATTGAAAATAGGTATGTGTTATAAAATAGAGGTTAGAAAATGAATGTTATAACTGTAAAGAAGTAAGTTAAATTTTTAAACAAGATTTGAAAAAAGACACAAAGGTGTTACACTCCAGTCTAGTAATTACAGGGGAAAATTTGTTTTATGAGAAAAGACAATATGAAATTGTAAACAGGACAGACTAAAGTATAAAAACATTGATTAGAAAGATTTTAAAAATGAGAAAAAGATATGTAATTGAATTAAGAAAGGAATGAGATAATTTAAAATAAGGCTATAGGAAGTAAAGAAAGGGAAAAGCTATTGAAAAAATTGTGAAAATAGTTATAAGATATGGATTAGAATGTAGAAGATAAATATGTATTGAGTTTATGTCTGTATGGAGAAGTGATAACCGGGGGCCACGCTGTTCTCAAAAAAAGATATTTTATTTGTATTTGTATGTTTTGTGAAAACTTAAATAAAACTTTTATGAAAAAGAAACTGCCAGTGGTAAAGTAACCCCAAAACTTTTGAAGCCCAAATCTTCTCTCCTAAATGAACCATTTGCAAGCAGGAAATATTAAGTCACACTGAATTTATTCCTAATACATTAACTTAAAAATGATCTAAAAATTTATCCAGCTCATCCCGAGAATTCAACATTTAGTGATAAATAGGCAATTGTTTAAATGTACTTTGGCAAACATTTCAAAAGGTCAGAGGAGGAAATTAATGGCTACACATTTTCTTAATACAATCAAGGAAAAATGATGTAGTGGATATTTTAAATAACACACTGTGAATGTGTGTGTCTGTGTGAGTATATGTTTGCATGCACGTATATGTATTTATTAGCAGCTCATCATTTTAATAAGCCTATGTTGCATTTTTGTGCCTGCATTCATTTTATAACTGTTGTTTTCTTTTTGTGACATCAAAAGAACAAAGTGTTAGGTAGAATGCATCTTGCTGCATGACCTTGTAATAAAACTAGGCCATACTTCAGCTACAGACAGATGAATCCTGAAATTTATTTTTGTCATTCTATTTAGTCAAAGAGCCATGATCCCATTAATTGTACCTCTTAGAACAAAGGTTTTTTAGCCATGCAATTTTCTAAGAACTGGTACTATGTGTTCTTACCCTTGTATTCTGTAATTATTTAATCACAATTACGTATCATCTTATCTCTTATTGCATAAATGATAATACAGATCCAACTGGACCTTGCAAACTTTGTGAGCTTTGTTTGTTTGCTATTTCCTCTATGTACATTCCTGACATGTAATGTCATTTTTTTTAATCTTGATAATTATACGCCTCTCATCTTTTGGTATTCTAGAATTAAATAGATCAAATACAAACAGCAGATCTAACTTTAGCAATATTTTTCTGTTGCTATGGTGTAATAATAACAACCAGTTGTGTGGACACAAAAAGGTCCAGCCAGTTTCCTAGCTGCTAGAAGAATGAACCCATGCAGAAATTTCTAGTGTGTTGAGTAAATCAGAAATAACTTGCACTTTATTTGAAGCTATATATACTGTATATGAGAGAGAGTATAGTGACTGAATTGCATAGTGACTGGAATGCCATCTTTGATACAGGAGACCTGGGTTCAAATCCTGGATAGTACCTACCTTACCAGTAGGGGTTCTAGGATAAAGACCCTCTAATGCTTCACCTGCCTACCTCAAAATATGAGAGTGATGTGAACCAGGAGAGTCATATGATTCAGATGTCACCAGGTTTAACAAAGTCCAGATCAGATATTGAGGAACCAGGACAATCTGATAATAATTGGACAACTGAAACAAATTATTCATGGATAAGACAAGAGAAGCTAGGACTGATGAAATACTACTACAAGAACAGACTTAATGAGAGGGAATAAATGAAAGGTATGCAGAAAGCATGGATGGACAGAAGACTTGCAACCTCACTAACTGAGAAACAGCTAGTAACTTCAACATAATTAAGAGGAAGCTGCACTTACAAGTTCAGATAGACCAATTACAAATTACAGTCCATAGTGAAGAAGACTTGAAAAAACAACTGGATGGCAGTCAACCCTTGAAGCTGGAATGTAATTAGCATCCTCTCCATTACAGAGCAGAATAGCTTTTATGAGGCATAAGACCATGGGTAAACTAGATACAATCAATTCTCAAGACTGGATACCAAGGCTCAGTACAGAAGTACTATCAAATAGTAGTAATCCTAGAAGATTCCAATAGAGCCCTTTTAGAATTGTTTAGTAATTTGCATTCTCCTTACTTTTTAAAAGAAAGAGCAAAAGTAGATCCAGAATTGCAAGGATCTATGCCTATTTACAAAATACAAAGCATGTGGTTATTTTATTATGACTTGGGTACAAAATATATGATGTTGACTAATCAATTTTGTTGTATGAAGTGTTACATACATTAAGCATACTACAATATATTTTATCTCTATTTACCACATATTTACATATATCAGTTCCCAAAGATTTGAGCTTTAGCTTTTTTAATAGCTTAAAGAAAAATTAATCCACTACGTAAGCTAATTGGAGAACTGGAATAAAGCATCAAATAACATTGGAAAGTATTATAGATAGCATTAGTTACAGGGAGTTTTAATGGAAATATTCTTTCAAGTTGACCTCTGGTTGTCAGATAGAGAAATTCAGCATTTCCTTGAGAACAATATGGAAATTGAGGATACAGAAGGCAGAATGTGTTTCTCTAGAAATGTCCAGTACTGAGAGCGAAAGAGTACAGTAGATACAGCATGGGCAATTCTTCGTATCTGCCAGGTATTCCTTTACAAAGAAAAGAGCCTTCTATATTTTTATAACAGCAATGAAAATATGAGGAAAATATGCATTTGAGGTAAGGAAGCAGCAACAATTTAATGCAAGTTAATAAGAAATAAACACTGTGATTACAGTAGGTGTCATCACTGTTTACAGGCAACAGACAGTTTGGTATATTGGTTAAGCTTCTGAACTAAAAACCACAAGACTGTGAGCTCTAGTTCTCCCTTAAGGAATAAAAAGCAGCTGGATGACTTTGAGCCAGTCACTCTCACTCTCCCAGGTTTGCTGTAGCAGTGAAAATAAGAAGGAGGAACATTATATATGGCACTTTCAGTTGTAAAAAAAAAAAAGGTGTGATATAAAGAAGAGAGGAAGGAGGATGAGGAAGGAGGAGGGAGAAGGAGAAACATTTATGTTTCTTTTTGTAGAAAAAAATATATCCCCCCCCCCTAAATATAAATATGTGCTAAATTAATGCTAGTCAAAAGCAAAAGGACAGCACCCACGTCCTGAGCCACATCCTGAGCCAGGAAAAAGCTCAGCCCATATAGGAACTGCTGAGAAGCCCTTTGTTCATTGCCTGAACATCGCCTGGAATCAGATCCAAAACTCTGCACTAAAAAACAGAATTTTTACTAACCTGAATAAGCATCCAACTGAATTGACAAAGGTAGAGATAGTGGGTAACTGAACCCAAAGCAGAGCAACTTTCTTCAGAGAGCTGCTGACTTGTGTAAGCTGAAGCCAGAAATGATATCTAGAAAAGAATTATAGTGACATTAATTTAAAAATGTATTCACAATGCTAAGGAAGATATCAGATTCACAATTTTCATAATATTTTATGTATTAGTTAAGCATCCCACCATACTATTTTGAATATGCACATACCACACTTTAAACATTTTTCTTGAACTAAATATTTTACTGCATTTTGGCCTGAATGATTTATGGAAATACATGACTGCTAGATTATCCATGTTCAGTAACTCTCAGTAAAGGATCTTGACAGCATCTATTAAGTGAAACAGTTCAAAAAGCAATGTGTTACTCAATAGAAACTTAAATCAGGGTTTTTTAAGCTGTAGAAGTGACCCTCTGTGGAGCTGTCAGCCCCAGGAAGCTGTCAGTTTGATCCTAGGTAGAGGCTAATATTCGAGCAGGGGGTTGGACTAGATGGCCTCCAAGGTCCCTTCCAACTCTGCTATTCTATGATCTATGATCTGCAAATTATTTTAGGCGTACACACATAAGCAGTTGTCCAGGAAGAGAAGAACCAAGGTCTGACAAGGTCTCAGCTCTGCTTGATCTGCTCATGCCATCCCCAGTCCCCATCTTCAACACCTGGTGCATGCTCACCCATGCTGAATCTTGCTCCCAAGCTTTCTGAACCAGGACCATGAGAATGAAGGCAGGCAAGGAGCACCCCTCCCCCTCCCAGTCTTCCTGCCATAGCAAAACAGCCTCAAGCAGAAGCTTGAAGAGGCTGGTCTTTAGGAATGGAGATTTAATGAGGCCAATCTATTCATAAGCACAGACACTCCTAATAAGCAACACAATAGGCAAGAAGCCAAAGTTGGCAAGATTAGTTCAGACAGACATCTAGGATTTGCACCTCCCCTTTTGCCTTTAGAGCCAGCCATGACCCCTATATGACCCCATAGGAATCTGGCAACAGCCATTACAATATTGAAGGACATATTCTTGCACAGAAATAGGCATCTCAATCACAAAGTCCCAAAGGAAGTATAAAAGCCCACCTTCTCTCAACCCCATTTTGTCAGCTACCCCAGAAACTGCTGTCATTAGTTTTTGGCTTCAAAATAAACAGAGATTTCCTTTCTTGCAGCCTGCCTCCATTTTATTTCCAGGGTCTTTCTCCCAGCTTGGAACTGGACCAGATTTCACTTCGTACTTTACTTCGTAAAGTTACTACTTTACTATGGAAGAAGTATTTTCCCTCCTTTTTGAGTTGAATTAAAAGTATAAATGAAAGGAAAAGTTGAAATCTGAAATCCTAAAGAGCATTTTGAAGCCTTGAAATTAATAATCCAAATCTGGGAATTTAAAATTGAAATCTTGCTCCTATCTAAAATAGTAATTCAGATTCTGTTAATCTGGAGCATTATCTCCTGTTATAAATTATTCATTTCCTAATTTGTCTAATTATGTAAAATAGAGTAAAAGCTGCCCTATCTACTTTCTTTGAGATAACATTCATTATACAGCCTTCTTGCAATTCTGAATTTCTACCACATATGGAGCACTTATTTATACAATGGAAGATAGATATGTGCCATATTGGATCTCAAATATCTCTTCTGATTGGCAGCATATCCCTAAGTTTCCAGTAGAGACATTCTCAGCTTTCAGTAGATGGGTTTCTTGAATAGAGACAATGTGATATTCTTTTATTTCCCATCTTGTATTTTGTGCTCGTCACTGTAAAATTTTCTGAAGTCTTTGAAGATAGTAGGAAATTAAAATAAGCAAACAACTAAATTAGTCAAGGAGAAAATACTGGTGAATTAGACACTTTCAGACACTGCAGATCTATCTTCATTGCTTTCATTTCATTTTTATTATTTAGAGTTAAAATAAAATTTTACTAACAAAATAGAAATAGCATGTGCACACCATACTGTGATTAATGTTGGTTTTGGAACATAGAGCATATGAATTTCTATTGTACTTCATGAATTTGGCTTATTAAAACAGAACCCCCTTAATGCTTCTGTTTCTGTTAACAGCTTCAAATATAGCAGCAGTGTCACTAATTTGTGTCACTCTCTAATAATAAAAAATACATTCTTAAAATGTATTTTGACCAAACCTCATATTAATCATTTCTGTTGCTTATACCAAAAACATATAAGAAACATAACAGCGGTGATAAGAAAGGCAAAAAAATCTAGATGATGGGTGTAGTTAGAAACAGCAGAATAGAAGAGGAAGAACTGGAGAAGATAATAAAATACAAATATCTAAAAATAGAAATAGAATGACTACAGCAGAAGCAAGCAAGATAGTACCAATAGTAGTAGGGGCCTTGGGTGCAATCCCAAAACAAATGGAGCACCACTTGACTACCATTATCATTGACAAATTTGCCATCAGTCAATTGTAAAAGGTGGCTTTACTCAGGATGGCTTTCATCCTGGGACAATATCTGTAATACCATAAAACATCCAGATCTGCCTATCCCAGGCCCTTGGAAAGGACTCGATAGGTAGACAAAAATGCCAAATCCAATCTGAACATCTGGCTTACTGCAACAAACGATGATAACAATAACAACAACAATAATAATGCCTATTCTGTTCCAGAGCTACGTATAATAATGACTTCAAACCCTTTTACAGTATCTTCTTAGTTTAATGATCTAAATAATTTTTCAAGAACAGTTTGTATGGTTGATAATTATTTAAAAAATTTGTTCTGTAATCAAACATATTATTAGGGCTAATGAAATGCTTCTTCATTTTTTCCACTTATAAAAACACAGGCTAAAATTGCTCCCCAAATAGATGATTTGATTTGGATTTGATTCTGTTTTGCGTATCTCAGCCATAAAAAAGTTGCTCTATCCAGAATGTTAACATTCTGTCAGGCAATTGGCCATAGCCCTCAGAAATGGGAAAGTATTTCTGTACCCTAAGGGGTTATTTTCTCCATAGAAGTTTATGGAAGGATTAAGTAATCTGGTATCATAGATTGCCACAGAAGGAAGTGCTTTTCTCCTTTGCTACCAGAATATGACATGCAGACAAACACACAAAAACAAAAAACTGGCAAGACTAGTTATTCTGCAATTTTAGAACTGAAGGGGAACATGCCCTGGTTTGATCCACTATCCAGAAAGCATAGGCTGCTGGGCTATAGATGATTTGGGCACAGGGCCTTATTGTTCCAGTTATTCAGCTGGCTTGCAAATCATCTGGCTATAAATTGATATATAAACTTTCAGAATAAAATGAACAGGAAATGCAAACCTTTTGGTGCATATGTAATTTATCCATTCATGCATGATAATACAGGATTTCCATACTACCAATTTATATGGTCATCTAGCCATTACTGTGATAATAAACCCATTTCATTAATAAAGGTAGGCATGACAAGATAAGGATAACTGCAGACTATATTTATTTCCATCATGTTGTCATTGTAAGTCAAGTCAACTAACATACATACACATAGGCACAGACATTAAATACCCTGATTTAAACTATGATTTGAAAGTCATTTTCCTTTAGTCAGTATCCTTTAGGACATATTATGAATTAGAAGCTCCTTCATAGATCATTGCCTTGTCGTGGTGAAGGGGCTTGCATAGGTCAATGAAGCTATGAGCTATGCTGTGCAGGGCCACCCACGACAGACAGGTCATAGCAGAGAGCTCCAACAAAACGTGATCCACTGGAGAAGGAAATGGCAACCCACTCCAATATCTTTGCCATGAAAACTCAATAGACAGTACCAAAAGGCAAAAAGATATGATGCTGGAAGATGAGCCCCTCAGGTCAAAAGGTGTTCAATATGCTATTTGTTCTGTCCCAGGCCTCTCCAAAAAGCAGTAAGTCAATTCTGAGTCTGGGCAAAAACCTCTTTTATTACATTAATGTGAATTTATTTTATTCACAATCAGCCAACAGCTTGGCAAACAGTCTTGCAAAGGTATACTAATTAGCTCAGACCTTTATCAATCCTGGAATGCTGCCCGGTAAATAGTTCCATACTCAGTGCTAGCAGGAAAGGGCTGGGTTATACAGACAAATCTTCACGAGGCTGGAATCAACAAATAAACGAACAAGCATGTTGTTTCATTAATGACTTAGATGAGGGAATAGAAGGGGAACTTACCAAATTTGCAGATGATACTAAGCTGGCAGGAATAGATAACACCCAAGAAGATAGGCTCAAGATCCAGATGGATCTTGATAGACTAGAACACTGGGCCATATCTAACAAAATGAAATTCAATGTAGAGAAAAGTAAAGTCCTACACTTAGGCAAGAAAAACCAAAAGTACACATATAGACTGGGTGAAACCAGGCTCAAAAGCAGTAACTGTGAGAGGGATCTTGGAGTCTTAGTGGACAACCAGCTAAATATGAGCCAGCAGTGTGCAGCAGTAGCCAAAAAAACTAATTCAATCCTAAACTGTATTAACAGAGGGATACAATCAAGATCAAATGAGGTACTAATACAACTCTATAAAGCTTTAGTAAGACCACACCTAGAGTACTGCATCCAGTTTTGGTCACCACATTATAAAAAAGATGTTGAGACTCTAGAAAAAGTAGAGAGAAGAGCAACCAGGATGATTGGGGACTGGAGACTAAAACATACGAAGAACAGTTACAAGAACTGGCCTTGGCTAGTCTAGTAAAGAGAAGGACCAGGGGAGACATGATAGCAGTCTTCCAATATTTGAGGGGCTGCCACAGAGAGGAAGGGGTCAAGCTATTTTCTAAAGCGCCTGTAGGCCAGACAAGGAATAATGGATGGAAACTGAACAAGGAGAGATTTAACCTGGAAATAAGGAGAAACTTTCTGACAGTGAGAACAATCAATCAATGGAACACCTTGCCCTTGGAAGTTGTGGGAGCGCCATCACTTGAGACTTTCAAGGAGAGATTGGACTGCCATTTGTCAGAAATGGTGTAAGTTCTTCTGCTTGGGCAGGGGGTTGGACTAGATGACCTACAAGGTCCCTTCCAACTTTGATTATCTGTTATCTGCAAAAGACCCCTCC